GATTTAATAACAAAGTAATTTATTTTTTGTTTAATAATACAATTTTTTATAAGGATAATAATTAAACATTCTGTTAGAACTCAATGTTTATCTTAATTATAATTTAGATTTTCTATATTTAAGATGAATGTTTATCTTGTATTTGATTATGTTTATCTGCAGTTAGTTACGCAAATTTAAAAATTGAGCTTTAATAAATTGTACTTATGCAAAATTAATTGTAATCTTGAATTTTAAGTAATATGCATCAATACACAATACATCATGCATAAAAAATGGTTCTTAAGAGTTTTCGTCAAATACTTTGTAATATAACTAGAAGGGTACTCGTGCAATGCATCGAGATACATATTGATTTCAGTGTTTCGTTTTATTCTTTTTTATGTCGATATAGTACGGTTTTATGTAGTTTTGAGAAAGCGATAATGTTTTTATGAGATGTGTATTCTCTATTTGATTATGTTTATCCGCAGTTAGTTACACAAATTCAAATATGAAGCTTTAATAAGTTGTACTTATGCACAATTTACTGTAATCTTGAATTTCAAGTAATATGCATCAATAAACAGTACTTTATACATAAAAATATTTTTTAAAAGTTTTTCTCAAATATTTTATAATATAATATAGATAATAATAAATTTTAATCACACTCTTATCTTCTTTTTAATTATTATATTATACCCTCGTTATGTGTTTTGTATAAATTTAATCATTGTAAATATATAACTAAAATTAATTTATTATATTTAACAATCTTATTTTATAAAAACTATCTCAAATACTTTTAATGACACCCTCTTTATTTTCTTTATTATATTTTATGTATAAGTTTAATTTTTGTAAATATATAGTTGATACCAATATTTGTATTTGTGTTATTTTTATTTATGTATAAAAATCAAATCAGCTAAAGTGTTTAAAATGTCTATAGTCAATTTATTTCAAAATGTTTAAAATTATGTAAAATCAAATCAACATAAAAAGTTGAAAAATCATGTAAAAATCAAATCAATATAAAAAGATATTGTGTGTAATTAAATCAACATGATTTTACCTGTTAAAAATATGTAAAATCAATTAAGTTAAAAACATTTAAAATTATATAAAATCAATTAAGGAAAACATTTAAAATTATGCAAAATCATTTAACTTAAAAACATTTAAAATTAAGTGGACGATGCCACCAACCTGGTTATAATCGAAGAAAATGTCCAAATTCCTAACTAAAATTCAATTCGTTGTGGAAGCTGTAATTTTATTTTAGTCGGTATTGTAATACCGTCAAATAATAATGTTAGTTTGATTCTTCATTTTATYAACTTATTGTATTTTGTTTATTTGAATGAATGAATTATGTATTTATGTTTTATTTATATCCAAATACATTGTTGTTTATAATTTAAAATAAAATAAGAATAATATTTAATATTGGTATAATTTGAAGAAATTAGTAAAAAACCGAATGAATACGAATGAACTATTCATAAACAACTAGAAGGGTATTCGTGCAAAGCATCGAGACACATTTCCTTTTCAATGTTTCGTTTTATTTTTTATCCATGTCGATATAATACGATTTTATGTGGTTTTGAGAAAGCGATAATGTTTTTATTTTTGAATAAGATGTAAATTTGAAGTAACTTAATTTAGGTTTAATAATATATTTTTTTATAAATATAATAATTAAGTATTCTGTTAGAACTCAATAATTATCCTAATTATATTTTTAAAATAAGATGTTTATTCTCTATTTGATTATGTTTATCCATAGTTAGTTACACGAATTCAAACATAGAGCTTTAATAAGTTGTACTTATGCACAATTTACTTGTAATCTTGAATTTTAAGTAATATGCATTAATGAACAGTACTTTATGCATAATTTTTTTTTTAAAGTTTTTGTTAAATGTTTTATCTATACTATATTATAAAACATTTGACAAAAACTCTTAAAACCCATTTTTTATGTGTAAAGTACTGTTTATTAATGCATATTACTTAAAACGGAAGATTACAAGTAGCTTGTGCGTAAGTATAACTTATTAAAGCTCCATATCTGAATTCGTGTAACTAACTGCAGATAACATAATCAAATACAAGATAAATATATCATTTTAAATATGAAAAATATAAAATATGATTAGGATAATCATTCAGTCCTAACAGAATACTTAATTTTATTTTTATAAAATGTTATATTATTAAACCAAAAATAAATTATTTTCTTACTAGAAGAGTAATCGCGCAATGCAGCGAGATATATCTTGATTTTAATGTTCTGTTTTATTCTTTGTCTCTGTCGATGTTATAATACGATTTTATGTGTTTTTAAGAAAACAATAATGCTTTATTTTTGAATAAAATATAAATTTGAAGATATCATAAAAATTTGAAAAAATATATATATCAATGTTAATAGATATCATTTTTTATGTAATTTCTTTAAAAAAAATTTGAAAATTTAATTTAAGTTTGATGATGAAATTTTTTTATAAAGATAATAATTAAGTATTCTGTTAGAACTCAATGATTATTCTAATTATATWTTAGATTTTTTATATTTAAAATGAGATRTTTATCTTRTATTTTATTATGTTTATATGGAGTTAGTTACACGAATTCAGATATGGAATCTATACTATATTTAAAGCATTTGACAAAAACTCTTAAAAACGATTTTTTATACACAAAGTACTGTTTATTGATGCATATTACTTAAAATTTAAAATTACAAGTAAATTGTGCATAAGTACAACTTATTAAAACTTCATACACTAACTGCAGATAAACATAATCATCAGGGGCGGAACACAAGCTTTCCAACCGTAGGGGCCGGACCTGATATATTATATATTTTCAAAAATACAAAAAATACAATATCGAAAGTTAAAATATGGGGAGGGTGGATAGATTGAAAGGTCTGTAATTTCATTAATGGARATTGGAGATTGTAATCTTGTTCATAAGTTGTTCGCGTAAGTCTGTCGGCTGTTATGGTCATATCATATGGGCATGTGGCAATAAAGAATCAACAGCTTTAAACTTTAATGGACTGTGGATTTTAGTTTTTAAGGATTAAAATTTTTGGGTTGGATTAAAAGCTTAGTTGATTCCCATGAGATTCCAAATTAAAAAAATTGGAATTAACAACTAAAAGCCATATATATATATATTAGATAAACATCTCATTTTAAATATAAAAAATCTAAAATATAATTAAGATAATTATTGATAATTAACAAAATACTTAGTTATTATTCTTTATAAAAAATTATATTATTAAACCTAAATTTAATTTCTTACTAAATCTAAATTAAATTATAATTAAAAAAATTAACTAAGGAAATTACATCAAACAAAAAAACTTTTAAAAATGTTAATTTCAGGGGCGGACCCCCTGTGATTTTTTTCCCCTTAGCATACAACAGTAAAGCATACAACAGGAATCCATTACCTTTTTAGATTCAAAAATTTTCAACCGGCCTCCCCCTTCCAAATCCAATCCCGAGAAGCGAGCGAGAGCGACTACCCATAAGGCCATAACCCGCTGCCGAATGCAGCCTGTGTGAGGACGAGGAGGGCGAC